CTTGGGTGATTTTCCTGAGTGATGTCCTCTCCAATTACGGATCAGGCCAATCCTTACTGAACTTGTGAGCCCTAATGGGATCACAGCTGGCAATGGTATGGTTGAGTGCCACATTACTTCACTACATATTCATTTAATATGTGTTTTGTTTTTGTTTGGGTGCTTTCTCCCTGGATTAAAAAGTGTTAGTGGAAGATCAGTAAACTGCACTTTGAAAGTCTTAAGCTCTTACTTCCAAAATAACTTTCTCCCCCAAGATTTCTGGGAAGGTTTCTTGTGCATCTTCTGCATCTTCTTAATGGCCTACAGAGGTCAGATTTCCAGTAAGGAGTTATTTCTCTTCTCCCTGATTGGCCACTTCAGGTTTGGAGAAGGTACAGAAGGACTTCAAAAAGAATAAAGTGACAACACATTGATAAATAACATTTACTTGCAGAGACAGAAGCAAAAAAAACATAGAACAACTAGTAAATAACTTTGCTATGGACACCACCTACTAGTTAACTGTGCTATGCTTTAGCAAAGGTATAGCCCATTTTTTAGAGGCATAAAATTGCTTTCAAGACCAATGTGTGGAGAGGTGCCTGAGGACTGGAGGAAAGCTAATGTCATGCCAGTTTTGAAAAAGGGCAAGAAGGAGGATGCAGGAAACTACAGGCTCCATCCCTGGAAAGGTGATGGAACAGGTCATCCTGGATGTCGTCTCTAAGCACATAGAAGGAAAAAAGGTCATTGGGAATGGTCAGCATAGATTCACCAAGGGGAAATCATACTTGACCAATCTAATAGGCTACTAGGATGGAATGACTGGCTGGGTGGAGGAGGGGTGAGCAATGGACGTTACCTACTTTGACTTCAGCAAGGGTTTTGACGCTGTCTCTTATAATCGTCCTCAAAGGCAAGGTTAGGTGAAAGGTGATGGAACAGGTCATCCTGGATGTCGTCTCTAAGCACATAGAAGGAAAAAAGGTCATTGGGAATGGTCAGCATAGATTCACCAAGGGGAAATCATACTTGACCAATCTAATAGGCTACTAGGATGGAATGACTGGCTGGGTGGAGGAGGGGTGAGCAATGGACGTTACCTACTTTGACTTCAGCAAGGGTTTTGACGCTGTCTCTTATAATCGTCCTCAAAGGCAAGGTTAGGTAGTGTGGGTTAGATGAGAGGACAGTGAGATGAACTGAGAACTGGCTGAATGGCAGAGCTTGGAGGGTTGTGATCAATGGTGCAGGGTCCATCTGGAGTCTTGTAACTAGTGATGTTCCCCAGAGGTCCTTACGGACTCCAGTCTTATTCAATATATTCAGCAATGACCTGAATGAGGGGACACAGTGTACCCTCAGCAAAGTTTGCTGATGATACAAAACTGGGAGGAGTAGATGACACATCAGAAGGCTGTGCTGCCATTCAGCAAGACCTGGACAGGCTAGAGACTTGGGCGGTAAGGAACCTAATGAAATTCAACAAGGGTAAATGTAGAGTCCTGTTCCTGGGGAAGAATAACCACATGCACTGGTAAAGGTTAGTGACTGACCTGCTGGAGAGCAGCTCTTCAGAGAGAGACCTGGGAGTCCTGGTGGACAACAAGTTGACCATAAACCAGCAACGTACCCCTGTGGCCCAGAACGCAAATAGTCTCCTGAGGTACACTAAAAAGAGCACGGCCAGCAGGTTGAGGGTGGTCATCTTGCCCCTTTACTCTGCCCTAGTGAGACCACATCTGGAGTACTGTGTCCCATTCTGGCTCCCCAGTCCAATAAGGACAGGAAACTACTGGAGAGAGTCCAGTGGATGTCTGCAAAGATGATCAAGGGAATGGACCACTTCTCTTATGAGAAAAGGCTGAGAGACCTGGGTCTGTTTAGCCTGGAGAGGAGAAGACTGAGAGGGGATCTCATCAATGGTTATCAATATCTAAAGGGTGGCTGCCAAGAGGATGGAGTCAGGCTCTTCTCAGTGGTTCCTGGTGACAGGACAAGCGGCAATGGACACAAGCTGAAACAGAGGAAATTCCATCTCAACATGAGGAAAAATTTCTTTCCTTTGAGGTTGGCAAAGCACTGGAACAGGCTGCCCAGAGAGGCTGTGGAGTCTCCTTCTCTGGAGATACTCAGAACCTGCCTGGATGCGTTCCTGTCCAATCTGCTCTAGGTGAATCTACTTTGGCAGGGGGGTCAGGCTGGATGATCTCCGAAGTTCCCTTCCAACCCTATCATTCTGGGATTCTGTGACAGGACAATGAACTTTACTCAGGACTTAGAAGAGCTGTCAGGTTTTTTCAGGAATAAGCAGCAGATACTTGGATGAACTCAATGTATCCATAATATACAAAAAATAGAAATATATCTTACTAATATATAATATTAATATAAATTACAAAAAAGATATAATAAAATATATATATCATTATATAATCCTGCACAACTCTTAGAATCATGCCACCACAAAAGTGGAAGGATTGGTGACATGGACAGAATTCATATCTTCAAAAGTTTGGGAAGTCACCAAATGTGGCCACAGGACTAAGGAAATTGGACGATCACAGGACTATGGCTAAAGTCTCGTCATGATTAAGAAATAACTGATGAGACAGCACAGGAATCAATTTTTCCTTCTTAAAAATATTTAGTAGTGAGAGGTGCCAAGACTTCATACAGAGACAAGAGAAAAGGAAGCAATTGTGTAGGAAAAATATGTCTAATCATGAATGCTCAATTAGACTAGACAAAATTTAGAGGGTCTGTAGGAAATCTGGTAGTAATTTTGTGACAATGTTGATGGTTTCTACAAAAAATGTTGTAGAAGCCATCCCTTACCTATTTAAGCCATGTTATGTACAGGTACATATAGTATACTGTTATATGCTATCCTTAACTTCTGCCAGAAAATAGACTTTTTTTTCTAATTATAAACTGGATGTATGCTGGCTTCTACATGGATAATTTCACTGATAGCTTTTCATAGATGTTTTCTTTTTTCTGTTCATACGCCTTTGAGGAATGGTATTCGAACATATTAATTAAAACTTACTCAACAACTTGTGGGTTGCTTTCTTCCTAATTTAGTGGTGACTGTAGTTGGGAAATTCAGACTGTATTACTTAGTCTGCTTCAAAAATCATATGATGATGTTGCTCATACAGAAACAGTTAAGCAAAAATAACCAGCAGGAATGCTTTTAAAAGCCAGTGTTGGAAGGGGTTTTGCTTTGGTGAGATGAAAAAAATCTTCCATGAGACTTAACGAAAGTCAAGAGGAAAGACACAGGCTCTTCTTGAATGTGGCCTCCTTGAAATTGTTTACAAGGTCTGTGAAACACTTGTGGGGGAAAAAAAATACAATATATGCCCACTAACAAATGATACCAGCCAAACACCGCTGGTTTTGCAAAAAGTGGGAAAATAATTAAACCTAACCCAAGTCTGTTAGAGGTGCTGTCAGTCCCTGCCTATTCATATACCAGTCCCACACCCTTCCCTGAGAGAAACTGTGTGTCACCAAGTCAGATTTTTACCATGTGCAGGCACACCGCTGTGGGCAAGGTTTCTGCTTTTCCCCTCCTGCTTTAGCTAGGTTAAAACATCTCCGGCTGCCAAAACTCTCAGAAGCATTTACAGCATCAAAGTCGGTTGCAACCATGCAGAGCGATCCTCAAAGCAGGGGTTGGCTGCGTGCCCTCTTCTTGCTGCTCATAGCTAGTGGGAGGTAGAAATACCTAAAACAATTTGTTTTACCTGCATGTGCCACCATTTATTTTTTTTTTTTTTGTAGTAAGATGAAATACCACCAGAGGTGAGTGGTATCTAGCAACCTCTTCCTTTTGCCCCACATGTCGATCTCTGAATAACGCCGCTTGTTCAAAAGCAGCACTGGCCTGGACTTCAGAGGGTGAGCCAGGTAGCATCTTTGTAAGAGCTATTCTGGCTCATGTGCAGTTTATTTCTATCTGATGAGGTGCACAACCTTTACTTCCCGACTAGCACAGGGCCCGCTGATCACTGTGTTTGGGGGTATAAAGGGTGTATGTGTGTAGAGATGTGTAACCAACTGCCTTTTTCCAATTCAGTGGCATTAACCGTCCTTCCCATAGACTCCTTACAGCACCAAACTCCAACACAGCCATGCTGCACCCCAGGGGGGCCAGAACGGTAGTGACAGAACGAGAGAGAATGGCTTCAAGCTCCAACAGGGTAGGTTTAGATTGAACATTAGGAAAGAATTTTTCACCGAAAGAGTGGTCGGGCATTGGAACAGGCTGCCCAGGGAGGTGGTGGAGTCAGCATCCCTGGCTGTGTTTAAGGGCCGTTTAGATGCAGTGCTAAGGGACACTGTGTTGGGGAGGACTTTGTAGAGTAGGGTAGATGGTTGGCCTCGATGATCCCAAGGGTCTCTTCCAACCTAGACGATTCTATGATTCTATGAGTATACCCTCCCCATTATCACTTTTTTTTTTTTTTTTTTTGCTTTTCCCACCAGAAACGAGCACTGGCGAGGTCTCCTTCGACAGGAATTTTGCAGGGAGCCAGCCGCTGCGAGCGCTTCGTGGTTTTTTTGGGGCGCTGTTTTGGCGGGTAAATATTTGTCTCCGGCATAGGTGGTGCAACCAGACCCCGCGCCCGGCGACCGCCGGGGTTGGGGAGGGGGGAACGCTCCAGGATGACACCGCGCCGTCCCCTCGCTGCCCCCCGGGCTCACCCCCGGCAGGGACGGCGCGGGAGCCGCAAGCCC